AAAGAGTGACACATTTAGTATAGGAGCCAGCGCAGGCAGAACTGTAATTACTGATCCCAGAGCAGCAAGTTGAGATTACAGCAGTCTCACCCACCTCTTCAGAGCTCCTGCATCACAAACTATTGCCTCCCCCTAACACTGGGTCTCCCAGTTATCTAGAGTCACTTTAAATATGATATACAGGTGGGATAGGCCATAAGATCAGAGAGTATCTTCTCACTGGTCTTTCCAATGCTTTAAAAAAAAGTTCAGAAAGTCAATGTACTAGTTGCATATGATCTTGGTTTTTACTGTCAGTCCCTTATGAGTCAAAACTTGGTACTAGCTGTGCTACAAATGAGCTAATAGCTACCTCCTTCTCATCTGTTTTTATACCTACTTTATAAAAGGAAAAACCTTTTGTCATCTACATCAATGAGCAGAAGTAACAAAGTACCTGATGTTGAATCAAAACCTAGGAGATCACTCTGCTTATTAGCCCATAAAGAGCTAGAAGGATTGGTTAGAGCTATTGTGGGATCCCGAGAGCCTCAAACTGGGCAAGAGTTAGATCAGTTACCTCTGTCTTCTGGCTCCATTTCCTTGCTCCCGAGATGGCATGCAGCAGCTGTTGAGCATATGACAACATTTCTGTGCAGGTGGGATGTCAAAGAGTCATAGCTGAACAAGACAAGGTGAGATGTTCCTCCTCCTGCCTATCTGCAGAGGATCACTGCATGCAGTGCCCGAGCCTGCCATCATCTGGCAAATTGTCACTACTACACAGTCGATTCTACCAAAACGAAGCAAGAAAAGGTTCTGAGGGAAGGCTCCCCCTTTACTCTTCAGCAAAGAAGGAGGAGGATGGTGCAAGTCTCTGTGGAAATTAGATGCTTTTTAGAATTAAAAAAAAATTAGAAGTTTTGCAGTAGATGGACCAGACCTTGGTGTTTGAAAGCCCTGTCAGACTTGCAACACTGCTCCAAGTTCAGCAGAATTGGCTGCTCAGGAACATGTAGCAGTAGCAGCCTCCATAACACACCCGGACAAGTTCAGCCATGCCTGTATGTCACTGTCAGCAGACACTCAGGAGCCTTTTACTCCAGGCCTACTATTAGAATCACATCATCCGTCTTCTCCTGTCACTCCCTTCCCATTTGCCACAGAGACGGGAAGCTCCTTCCAACACAGATCCTCAAACATCAGCACTTCCTAATTAAAACAACTAAATCCTGCCATTGCTGTTAATTGACCTGGAAGTAGAGATCAAAAGAACGGTCTGCCTGGAACACACCCATGCACTGACCAAGCTATGGACTTCTCATAGTATTATACCTACAATATTTTATAACATACTTAATGTTTCCTATTGTATGTAGGACAGCACCATGTAATTAATGACATTTAATTAAGGACATATGAAAAGCTAATCTGGTTTTTGAAGGTCAGACCTAGCTAGCTACAGCCAGGACAGGATCAGTCAAGTACTAGGAAGAAGAATTTGCAAAGAATACCATATACCACACTCACCACATGTATTCTATTCTACCTGTCTTTAAATCACTGATTTAACCTAAATTCCAATAATAAATTACCTAAATTCCAGAACCTAAATTCCAATAATACAGAGAAGGATACCATCGATGTGCAAGATCTGGACTCCCCACAAACGAGCATTGGCCAGGATACCGTTGCCACTGCAGCTGTCCTAAACAAACAAGAGAGTGTTTTGAGCTGTAGCTTTCTCAGAGATGACTGTGTGAGTGTACAAAACTCTAAATCTAGTTTAGTGGGGTTTTTCTGTTGCTCAGTTGCCAGACCAACATGTCAGTGTTATTAAAATATGCTTCAAGGCACAGCAGAAAAGGTTACAACTCATGCTTTTATCTACCCCAAATCAACAGCAGCATCTAGTTCATATTTTTAATTCCTGCTATAACATGAGCTTCCAAGGTGTGCACCAAGATCCTCTTGGCTGCTGCGATATCAGTGTAAAGACTCCAGAGGAGCCTTTTGCCCCCACTATGTGGCTTTAATTCTTCCTAAGCTAAAAATGCTTCTAACAATGGTCTTATGTGAATAATTCCCTTGTGTTGAGCAACCAGACCCCTGCAACATGCCTTAGAAGTAGCTAACATGGAAGGATGAAATGGCTCTGTGAAGAATAGTGTCTGGGAACACTGCACAACACTCTACGGAGCCACAGGTGACTGTTTCATATCTTTGCCAGCCATACTGTCTGCTTCCTTTGACAGTCAGGCACTCTGAAGGAATGGCTGCCACTACCCTGGCAATGCTCAGCAGTACTTTGAACGTATCCAGTTAGAGAAAAAGCCTACCCACGTGGTGCCTACCTGATTCTTCATGGCCTTCTGCAGCAGTTCCTTTCCCCGGCTGATCAGGGCCTGCAGAAGAAAGAAGCCAAGTAAGGTGCTGAAGCCAAGAGCTGCCAGGCAGTAGCAAGCTGTGGACAGAACACCGCTGCCCGTTACAAATGATTTCTAGTGATAAGCACTCTCTGCTGGAGAGAGGAATCTAGCCAGGACTTCATTTCAAAGACAGCAAGCCTCAGTATTCCCAGGGATCCAAAAACCACAAAGGCACCCTTTGCACTGAGCAGCCATTCAGCCAAGGCTCAGGTTTTACTGAGCAACACTGAAAGCTCCAGAGTGATCCAAGAGGAAGCCACACCTTAGCTTTGAAGCTCCATGTACCACATCCCATCACACTGCCAGCATTAGAAAAATCCTTGCCAGGCCTTTCCTGAGAAGAGGATCCCTTTTGCTAGCCTATGATTTGGTAGATTGCAGCAACAAGGTTAAGCTCTTTGTAAGACAAGTGGATGGTGCTGTGAGCAAGGGCAGGGGACCAAGCGCATCTGAGTGAAGCCTCTGACATCAGTTCAGGCGTCTTCAAGAGGTGCCGTGCTGTAAGTGGTCCAGATCCAGCTGGCAGAGATGCCTGCAGCCTAGATTGGGGTAACCTGGCTCTGCCAGCATTGCTACTCTCCATAGTCACAGCTGCCACTGAACCCTGCATTCTACGCAGGGCACGGATTTTGGCCACAAGTATCACTGATCAAAAAGCCCAGCTCAGGCAGGGTGAACAACACCTACAGAAATCCCTTCTTGCAAGCTGAACGTCCAGATCTCCTCCCAGATTACAATTGCTCTGCTCTGTCTGTGAGCACACATCCACAGCCTGCAACAGCTCTGAGCCAGTTTTAACTTTCCACACCTCTGGTCTTTCTAGATGCATCTTTGCAGCAGGACAGATTACCTGTTCTGCTGGAAAACCAACCAAGTCTTGTATTTCCTTTGCCATTTGAGTAGGTGCCCTTTTACTAGCTCATTGCTGTGACATGCACTTTGGGGTCACAATGATTCACAAATGCAAGGAACATTAGTACAAATATAAATAGTCAGGCTAGGACAAACACAACATGATTGCTCAGAGCAGAAACAATGCCCTTCTGCCACTGGTCTCGGGTTCTACACTCTACCCAGCCTTTGGGTCAAACCTTGAGGTGGCCTAACCATAGGTCTTATAGCTCTTACGGTGTCTGGTGGCTTCTGGTGAGGTCTGGTAGGGTTCCCTTTGGAGGTAGAAGGCACTGGGCTCTTAGCTTTTGCACCCTCTGAGGCAACGTTGCTCCACTTCTCAGTTCGAGTCCTGGCCTTGTCTCGTTTGGCCTCTTTGCTGCTGGAAACCACATAGCTGACTTCTTTACTCAGGAAGCTTTCGGTCACCTGGAGCCAAAGACAGAACAGTGCTAGCTCTAAAACCTTCCAACAGCTCTGGGATTTGAAAGAGTCCTGCTGAGCAAGAACTACTGCCTTTAATTGACCCACTCACTGCTAAGGGGCTACTGAATGTACTCATCTTTACAAGTAGCTTTTTCTTCCATTCCCAGAAGGAGAGGCGATCCTGTGATGATCAGTTAACACTTCCTATAGATAACAAACTGCAAATAATCAGAGTCTTCAGATTGAGACTTCCTTGACAGGATGCTGTCTCATCTCATTTACTCTTTGAACAATAATTTCACAAAAAAGCAAGGGCCAGTTTTTCAGGCATTCAGTTTCTATTAGTTACTTAACCAGCAATCAGCTTCAGAGAGCTGAGTATCCAACATCAATCCCCTTTGAGACATCTGGGTGTGAGTCTTGACATTACACAAATTGCCAGTTTCCTGTTCATATTGGAACAGCTTGTCCTGGGCCCTGAGAGCACTCCAAGCATCTCCTGCTCCAGGAACCACATCATTCCCCTTCACAAGTCAGCAAGCCTCGTAACACTGAGAAGGGAAATTTGTGGCAGCAAGGCACTGATCTGGACGTCTGGGACATAATCCCATAGACAGGACCATTCTATTAGAAGATGGCTCTATATCCTTCTCACTGAGGAAACCCTTCAGCAACTGGAACTTTGAAAGGAAAACTATAGCAGAAGGCAGTTATTTATTAAGGTAGCCAGATCTGCGATAAGAGCTACGCAGGTATTTGATGTAGAGTGAAGAGGCAAAGAAAGCCAACAAGTGAGAAAATGACCCTGGAAGTGATGCACCAGCGTGGAAGAGCTCTACTGTTAAGAGAATCAGTAAGAATCTGGCAAAGCAAGTACAAAGCAAACAGTTGGCACAAGCACTTCCATGTAGGACAGGGAACAGAACTGGAAAGCCAAAACATACACTTTTGTCCAAAATAGTGTGTAGAAAAGCTAGAAGCCCAAGAAAGACTGAAAAATCAAAATGCCCGATTTAGGATAGTAACAATAGGCATATCAGAAGTTCAGTAGAAGGAAGACAGTCATGGGACACTAACACAGAGGTACGAAGCATACAGGAAAGACAGAAGGCTGAACAGTTTGAAACCAAGTCTGCTAAACAAGCTAGTTCTGTTGAGTTACAGAATCCCTACAGATTGAGATCCCAGGCCCACATATGAGAAGTGCCATAAGATACATTATTGGCTGCCCTGCTAACACTGGGACTTATGCTACAGGAGATCAAGGACGCTGCAAGCACAAAAAGGAGTAAATCAAAGTCTCCCAGTCTAGATAATGCTCCAGTGTATCCTGAGTTTAAGATACCACATGCAAGTCAGAGACCATAAGATGCTCTTGAACAATGGACAGTTTTAGAGACAACCTGGTTTCAGACATTAGTACTGAAGAGCTGTTTTACAGATGGTAGCCATGGTATACACACATTCATCATCTCCACAGGAGCAAGAGAAATGAGAACTTCATTACTCTGAAATACAGCCCACCATGAGAGGGCAGCAACACAAGAGGATGCTTGGTAAGAAGCTACAGGGAGAGTCAAAAAGCTAAAATTATTTTCAAGTGGCGTGTCAGCTACACAGAGAAATAGCTGACAACTCAGTGCAAGCGTTTCTCATTGGATTTGAAAGTGCACAGCTAAGTAAGAGATGCCAGAAAAGGGAGATTATCCTTCAAAACGTTGAAGGCATGTCCAGATGAGGATCAAAAAAAATAGCAAGTCAAGCATGATGTGATAGTAAAAGGGAAAAAATTGGAAGTCAGATTCCCCAAGAGCCTATACAGCCAGCACACGATCCTGATGTTAGACCAACAGCAGCAACAAGAACTAAATGAAGATTTTTACATCAACTTGTAGCATTGAAGAACTTAAGGAAGTTTTGGAACATGCAAGAGAGAATCTGCCTCAAACTGAGGGAGATACTAAAATAGTCTGAAAACAAACAGCTATTTGGATCCAGTAACAATTATTAGAATGGGTCCAGATACCTTTTTTGAGAAAGCCATGTGAAAAGTCAACAACTACGTGACAAAAGAGACTTAGCTGGTTTGAATGTCAGAAAACATTTGAGGTCTCTCAATTTCCTTAAAAAATTAAGTTGCCCTAGACTGTGTTGGGGCACTACCATGACCAGATAACTAATTACCACTGCTGAACAGGCAGTTCTCATAGTGGACAGTCACCAGCAAACTCAGACAGGACTAAGCTATTCAACACCCCTGTAAGCGACAGGGAAAAGGTTAGTAGCAGGATGGCCAAGCTGGGTTGAACTGAGAACAGGCACCTAGGAAATAGAAGAGCAGTAGAGTGAAAGCTATTTTCTTTGGTGAATCACCTCTCACCTGGAAAGTGACGAATTAGGAGCTCACCAGCGCAAGCCACAGAGAAGGAAGGGGCTTTAGAAGTTGCTGTAATGAAACCAAGCCAACACCGGGAGCAACCAAACCAATGCTGATTCAAGAACTCGGAACAAAGCCGAGGGCACTGCAGTCCAGCTGGTTACACGGTTCACCCGCGGGGGCACAGGGGCCTGTCCCGGGGCCAGGGAGGACAAGAGACCGGCACGAGGGGACGGAAAGCGGCCGAGACGAGAGCAGAGAGGGCCAGGAGCGCCCTGAGCCCCGGGACGAGGGACACCGGGAGCCCCCGCACCCCGGAGGGGCCGGGG